AATGCCACCTAGAACCACATACGATGCAATCCGTACCGAACAAGCAACTACTCGAATATAACTAAAGATGTAAAGAGAACCAAATGAGAGTACTATCCGACATGTCTAGTAGGTAGAAACCCAACGGCATCATACTATGAGTCTCTCCCACAAGAGAGAAGTTGAACACACAACACAACCATAGAGAATCTCATCCTAACATAATCTCGTTCCGGCACATAGCCCGGTCCAAATATACCCATCGAGCCATAATGCTCCCAATCATCGATCACACGTGTATCAACAGCAAACACGCGAAACGCATGACCACAACCATAGAGAAACGGATAGCACAATATACCGCAGATAGGAAAAACATGACTAAGCTGCAATAAGAAACTCAACATCCCAAGACCCATCTCGCTCCAAATCTCGTCAACGAGCCTAAACAGGACCACATCATACGTGTGAATAGCCAAGCAGTCTCACAACCCGTGGCAGTATAAAAGAGCAACATACGAAACAACCAGGGCACGAATAATCATTCATTCCGCCCGATGACATACCCACTGAAAATGCTGCGCAAGAGTAAGAAAGCCCAATCCGGTGTAGAATACACATTCTCATAAGGCCTACAAATAGCCCAAAAACAAAATTCTGATCATGCCAAAACAGGTAAATAAACTTTTAAAAGTTCATAGTAACCTATCCATAACACATACCATCAACTCTCTAACTCTTAACATATCTTCATAGTCCACAACCAAGGAATAGTCTGCCTCTGAGAACATCCAGTCACTAAACCTCAAGAATACAGGAATCTCCGTATCTGATCCCAATACCATAACTCAAATGACTGATACATCACTCATACACAATCATCTCACATAAATTGCTCGCATAGATCTTTCGTTCCACGTAGATAAACCTTAACCTCATCAGCTAACAACCAAGCGATTACCATAATACTAGTCAAGCATCTGCAAGTCAAAACACAATGCATCACCTAACACGCATACCCTTCAAGCGATACAGGGTGTACTAACATCTTCTAAACATCTAAAATCTCCCATGTCTCTAGAACTCATGACCTTCTATATATATTTATATGTATATCGCCTCATGTTTTACTCGTGTTTCGTGGATTTCGAATGTAAAATATATTGATTTGTATTAATTCATTGTGTTTTTATGTGTAGGAATCATCCAGAAGTAATTGGGGGCGAAAGGTGCGAGATTAGAGCCAAAATAGAGAAAAAATGGAAAATGTGATTTCCAGCGCCACAAGCAGCGCGCAGCAAGCCAGCGCCAGGGCTAGTGCCCCACGCTGCCCTGGATGCTGGTGACGGGAATGTCTCCAACTTGCACGGGACATGATTTTTTCGGCCCTAGACCTACCCAACACGTATAAAAGCAAGACTAAGCCTATTTTGAGAGGGAGAACGCCACTTTGAAGGAAAAATACACACAAGAAACATTTGGGAGCAAAGAGAGCTCAATTTTCTTCAACTTTTCTCAGTATTTTCAATTATCCAACACTTATGAAATTGTTTGATACTATAATGAGTGGCTAAAACCCATAGTTCCGGGGTTGTGATTTAGCCATTAATATTGTTGTTTAACGTTGACTTAACCTTAATTATAATTCACCAATATATGATTATTTCTTTAATTCTGCGATTAATTGCTTAATTGTCTTGCCAGCAGTTAGGTTCTATTTACTATCTATGCTATGCTTGGGAAAGCCATATTTAGATAAGAGAAGAATTGAAGAGAGCACGATCTTANATGTGTTCTTAATAGATTGATTTCATAGGAATATAGGCATTAATCTATTTTGAATAAGCGAGTAGTACTTCGGGAGAAGGCTACAAGAGCAATTGTTCGATTAATTAGCAACCATGAGCAAATTATATGAAAGGGAGAGTTAACTAGAATATAATAGGATTGGCGAATCGATCACATCCCTAGAATATTTGTCTCTACTGAATACACAACAATTATTTTGCTGCTTGATAATTTAGTTACTAGTTAGAATTATTGTTTAGTAAAATCACACTTTTGAACTCGAATTGGGTCGACTGAATAACAATCTTGGTGAATTTAGTAGGCAGCTAATACAAGTCCTTGTGGGTTTGACACTCAACTTATCATCTTATTACTTGTACGACCATATATACTTGATGTGTGCATTTTGGAGTAACAAGTTTTTTGCCACCGTTGCCGGGGACTTGAATATTGACTACTTTCTAGTTTTAGCTATAATTGTTTATTTCGTCAAGTCTAACGTTTCTTCATTGTTGCTCTGCTCTTAGGAACCTTGATTGAATGCGAAGGGTCAGAAGCCAGGAGAGACTTCAAGGCTTTGACCCTAAACCTGAGAGAACATTTCATAGGAGGTTGAGGGAAGCAAGGGACATAAATAATCTTCAGGTACTCGTTCAATTTCATGTGAACATGGCAGAGGAGCAACATATGGTTGTTCAAGAGGTGGCGATGCCCAGCATTGCTAATGTCACCTCTAGCATTGTGAAGCCCAGAATCACTTGGCACTTTGAGCTGAAACAGAGCATGATCCAGCTACTTCATGTGAATGGGCAGTTGATGGGTCTTCCACACGAGGATCCACAACAGTATATCCTAAACTTCTTAGAGATTAGTGATACTTACATGACTAACAGAGTCACTCCAGACTATGTGAGGCTCACACTTTTCCCATTCTCTCTGTTGGGCGAAGCAAAGCGATGGCTGAAGGAAGAACCATCTAATTCTATTATATCATGGAATGATGTGGCCAGGACATTTTTGGCAAGGTTCTTCCATTCAGGCAAAATAGCAAAGATCAGAAGTGAGATAGTCGCCTTCAAAAAGAAAGCGGGGGAGTCTTTATACTCAGTTTTGGAGAGGTTCAAGGGGTTGCACATAGACTGTCCTCATCACAATCAAACAAATGAAGTGTTAGCTCACACTTTCATAGAAGGGCTACATCCTGAGACAAAGATTTTGTAGATGTTGCAGCTAGAGGTCAAGTGTTGGAGAAAAGTTTTGATGAAATATATGCTTTATTAAACAATTTCTCCAAAAGCAATCCTGATTGGCAAGGAGAGATGGGCAGACACACAGTGCAAAAATCTGCAAGGGTCCTCGAGTTAGATGTCGTCTCTGCATTATCAGCGCAGATTTCCACATTGACCAACCAAGTCAATCAGATGACCTTGGTTATTAACAAGCAACAAGCCCAGCTAGTGCAACAGGTTCAATTGTTTTGTGAAGTATGTGGAGAGGGTCATACGAGTGACTTATGCCCAGTTAATCCAGAGTCTGTCTGTTTTGTGGGTAATGCAAATAGGGGCCAGACAAACCAATATGGGAACACTTACAATATTAATTGGAGGTACCACCCAAACTTCTCTTGGGGTAGAAACCAGGGTGCTCAGAATGAGTACATGCCACAAGCACCTCAACAACAATATAGACCACCTCAGGCTGAACAATATGCAAACTCGACGAGTCACCTTGAGGAAATAATGAAGAAATTTATGGCTGACCAGCAAGCCCAAACAGCAGAGATGATGAAGAAAGTAATGGCTGACCAGCAGGCCCAAGCAGCAGCAATGAGAAATTTGGAGCAACAAATGGGATAACTTGTTAGTGCCCAAAATACTCGACCAGTTGGAGCTCTTCCAAGCGACACTGAGGCTAATACTAAGGCATCTATTAATGTTGTGTCATTGAGGAATGGGAGACAGTTAGAAGAAGTCCAATCGAAAAAGAGAAAACAAGTGACCTTTAATGAGAAGTCGGTCACCATAGAGGCAGAATTAGAAAAATTAAAGGAGACAGAGAAGTCAACTGAAGAGACGGTGGCTAAGCAACCCCCACCATTAGTTGCGAGGCCACCACCTCTGTTCCCTCGAAGATTGCAGAAAGTGAAGGATAATGCCGCGTATAAAAAGTTTCTTGATATTTTAAAGCAGGTGCAAATCAATATTCCACTGGTAGACATCCTACAAGAAGTGCCAAAATATACTAAATACATCAAGGACATAGTGGCAAATAAAAGGAGGCTGACCAAATTCAAGATTGTGGAACTCACTGAGGAATGTAGCTCAAGAGTTCAAAGCAAACTACCTCAGAAATTGAAGGATCCGGGTAGTTTCACTATCCAAATCTCGATTGGTAAGCATGCAGTCGGGCGAGCGTTATGTGATCTTAAGTGAGCATCAATTTGATGCCGCTATTTGTGTTCAGACAGTTGGGGTTGGGTGAGCCACGCCCAACAACGGTAATCCTGCAATTGGCTGATTGTTCCTTTGCTCATCTTGAAGGAGTGATTGAAAATGTGTTAGTTCAAGTGGGTTCTTTCATATTCCCTGGTGATTTCATTATCTTGGACTACGATCCTGATCAGGAAGTCCCTTTTATTTTGGGGCATCCATTCTTAGCCACAGGCCGAGCTATTATTTATGTATGTGAAGGAAAGATGACGATGAGAGTAGGTGATCGAGTGGAGGTATTGCACTCGGATTGCCTGCCCACTATGAAGAGTTATCTATGATTTCTTTGGTGGAAAGCGATGCTACATCATTGGTGCCTTATATAAGCCCCATAGATCCTCTTGAACGAGCTTTGATTGGGGATGAAGAAGACAGTGAAGATGAGATGATGGGAGAAACTGAGCAAGTACTTGACATGTATTGCAGTTATGTCCATGTGTTTGGGAGATTTGAGGAGTTGGATAGGCTTGTCACTCTGACCCCTCCTAAGCCATCTATTGAAGAATCTCCAAGGCTAGAACTTAAGCCCCTTCCAGCTCATCTGCGATATGCTTATATGGGGAACTCTGAGACATTGCCAGTGATTATTTCGTCCAACTTGATTAATGTACAAGAAGAAAAATTACTCAGAGTACTTCGCGAGCATAAAAAGGCTATAGGGTGGACAATTGCTGACATCAAGGGAATCAGTCCATCATTTTGCATGCATAAAATCTTTCTGGAAGATGGACACCGCCCTAGTGTTGAGCAGCAAAGGAGATTAAATACCATTATGAAAGAAGTTGTGAAGAAGGAAGTAATTAAGTGGCTCGATGCAGGTATCATCTTTCCTATCTCTGACAACAACTGGGTAAGTCCAGTGCAATGTGTGCCTAAAAAGGGGGGGATGACTGTGGTAGAGAATGAGAAAAATGAGCTAATTCCTACTCGTACCGTGACGGGGTGGAGGGTTTGCATTGATTACAGAAGGCACAACAAAGCAACCTGAAAGGACCACTTCCCCCTTCAATTCATTGACCAAATGTTGGACAGATTGGTGGGGCATGAATATTATTGCTTCCTTGATGGTTATTCGGGGTACAACCAGATTGTCATATGCCCAGAGGATAAGGAGAAGACAACTTTTACTTGTCCTTATGGCACTTTTGCCTTCAAGTGTATGCCATTTGGTCTTTGTAATGCACCATCCACTTTCTAGAGATGCATGATGGCTATTTTCACCGATATGGTGGAAAAATTTGTGGAAGTCTTTATGGATGATTTTTTAGTCTTTGGGTCTTCTTATGATGACTGTTTGAAGAATTTGAGCAAGGTGTTAGCTCGTTGTGAAGAAACAAATCTAGTGTTGAATTGGAAAAAGTACCATTTTATGGTGCAAGAAGGCATCGTGTTGGGCCACAGAGTGTCAAGGAGCGGCATTGAAGTTGATAAGTCAAAGGTGGAGGTGGTTGAAAAATTACCTCCACCCATTTTTGTGAAGGGTGTCCGAAGTTTCTTGAGACACGCGAGATTCTGTCGACGCTTTATTAAGAATTTTTCAAAAAATGCTACTCCTTTGTATAGGTTACTTGAAAAGGATGTAACTTTCAATTTTGATGATGCCTGCCTAAAGGCATTTGAAGAGCTCAAAAAGCAGTTGGTGGTTGCCCCTATTTTTGCGGCACTGGATTGGTCCTTACCATTTGAACTTATGTGTTATGCAAGTGATCATGCTATTAGGGCAGTGCTACGCCAGAGGAAGGACAAGATGCTTTATTCCATCTACTATGCGAGTAAGACTCTTGATGATGCACTGCTGAATTACACCGCCACTGAAAGGAGTTGTTGGCTGTTATGTGGGCCTTTGAGAAATTTTAGGCATACTTGATGAGAACAAAATTCATAGTCCATACTGATCATGCAGCAATAAGGTATCTATTTTTAAAAAAATCCAAAGGCTAGATTGATGCACTGGGTTTTGTTGTTACAGAAATTTGATGTAGAAGTACGAGATCGAAAGGGCATAGAGAACCAAGTAGTTGACCATCTTTAAAGGCTGGAAAATCACGACCACGTGGAGGAGTGTGGACAAATTAAAGAAGCATTTCCTAATGAGCAACTTTTTTCTATCACCCAAGACCCTCCCTATGGTACGCGGACTATGTGAATTATCTTGTGAGTGGGGTACTTCCTCCTGAAATTGAATCTGAAGCTAGAAAGAAGTTTCTACATGATGTGAACTTCTACTACTGGGATGAGCCATACTTGTACAAGAAGTGTGCTGATCAATTGATGAGGAGATGCATTCCAGAAAAGGAGGTGGAATTAGTGTTGTATGATTGTCATGCATCACCTTACGGGGGCCATCATGGAGGCGATAAAACAACTGCAAATGTATTACAATCCGGACTCTTCTGGCCAACATTATTCAAGGATGCCCATGCATTTGTTAAGAAGTGTGACCAGTGTCAAAGAACAGGAACAATCACAAAGAGGCATGAGATGCCTTTGAGTAACATCCTGGAGGTCGAGAATTTTTATGTGTAGGAGTATAGATTTTCTGGGACCATTCCCAATGTCCAGAGGAAACAAATATATCTTGCTAGCAGTTGACTACGTGTCAAAATGGGTAGAGGCGATCTCATTGCCAACAAATGATACTATGGTGGTAGCTGCGTTGGTGAAAAAGAACATATTTTCAAGATTTGGGACTCCACGTTCCTTGATTAGTGATGAAGGGACATATTTTTGCAATCGATTATTGAATAACCTTCTAGCTAAATATGGAGTCCGCCATAGAGTTGCCACGGCATATCATCCGCAAACAAGTGGACAATCTGAGGTGTCTAACAGAGAAATAGAGCAAATCTTAGAGGAGACGGTGAGTGTGAATAGTAAGTATTGAGCTGCAAAGTTAGATGATTCCTTGTGGGCATATAGAACTGCATACAAAATACCAATTGTGGCGTCGCCGTATAAGCTTGTTTATGGGAAGGCATGTCACTTGCTTGTTTAACTTGAACACAAAGCATACTAGGCCATTAAAAAGTTGAATATGGACCTTGAAGCAGCGAGCGAAAAGAGACTCTTGCAGTTGAATGAGTTAGATGAGTTCAAGTTGCACTCTTACGAAAATGCTAAGTTTTTCAAAGAGAAAATGAAAAGATGGCATGAAAAGCGTATCAAACCACGTCACTTCGAACCGGGCCAATAGGTGCTATTATTCAATTCTAGGCTCAAGCTTTTTCCTGGGAAGTTAAAATCGAGATGGTCAGGTCCATTTGAGGTAGTGAGAGTCAATCCTTATGGTGCAATTGAGCTACGCGCTTTAAATGGTGAAAGAAAATTATTAGTGAATGGACACAGAGTCGAGTACTATTGGAGAGGAATAATTGATTGTTAGAAGACCAAAGTAGTACTCGTTGATGACTAAGCGAGATCATGCGTCATGCCGCGACGTTAATTCAGGCGCTTGTTGGGAGGCAACCCAATTTTTATTGCTCTCATATCTTAGTTTTTTAAACTTTTTTAATTAGAGTAGACTAGAGTTTGTATTTTTTGTAGAAATAGAATTTATAGGTAGAATGCCGTGGGACATGTAAATTGGATATATAAAGGGATCGGGGGATCGGGATATTACTTCAAAAAATAAATTCGTGAATTAGCGCCCAGGCCAACGCCCCACGCGGCCTGGGGTGCCCTTTACAGAATGTCCAAACCCCTCAGCGCTAGGCCTAGCGTGGGGCGCTGGGCTGGGGGTGCAGGTAAGTCTTTTTTTTGTTTTTTTTTTGTTTTGTTTTCTTTATTAGATTAATACCCCTACCCATTAACCCAACCCATATACCCATCTATACTAACATTATAACCCATCTTATAGCCCATACCCATACCCATCTTAAATGAAAATACAACTCCAAAACCTTAACTCTATTTCTCTCTTTCTCATATCACCGTAAATCTCTCTCTCGCTCAAGCTTCTGCCGCATTCTGTCTTCCTCCTCTCTCTCAAATTTCTCAAGCTCCTCTCTTGCTCTCATCCTAAATCCAACAGGTATGTTTCATCTTCTTCTTATTGTTCTTTTACTTGATAGATGATAATAAACATTCCCCCTCCCAAATACCCTAATCCCATATTTTCCCCCTAAGTTGCTTCTTAAGACTTGTTCTATGGTGGGTGGTCAGAATGTGGGACGAAATTAGTTGTGGTTGTATTGTATACGGAGCAGTAAACTAGAATTCCCTCTACTTCGTTGAAATTTGGGAAGGCCACCATATTCCACTATTGTTAAACTAAAGTGCACACATTTCATGCCCACAAGGTGTTTGCTAAAATGCTTGAATGAATATTTTGTGCACCGGTGAAGTCTGAGTAATCGAGTGTAGTTGTATATGATATTGGGCTAAGTGTGGGGTGTGTGGGGATGATTTTACATGCTTGGGAGCTTGGTTTTAAATGCACACGTGTCACCCACACCATGTATCCTATATTATGTATGTATATTGTAGCACTTTGTAGGGTTAGCTAATTTAGTGTAGTAGTTGTAAAAATTTAGTACCATATGCCGCTTGCTTGCATTGAGGTTAATTCACTTCGCCATGATCAATCAATTGTTTGTGTGGCATGGGGAAGTCTTGAGTACCTGTTGCCTTGTGGTGCAACACTTGTGCATTTTAGACCACGATTGTGAGTATAATACATTGAGCCTTTAGTGTTAAGTGTGGGGTCATTTTTGACTCGCACGACAACCTTAGGCGGATTTCTTGATTCGTTCTCACATTCATGCTTATTTGTGTTGTAGGTTGCTATGACTCAAGATAATGCAAACAAAGGCAAGGGAATAGGAAAGTCCTCCACCACTGCCCCAGCGCCCAAAAAGCACAAGCAAGGAGAAGGATTCTCTAGGCAAGCTAAGGGGAAACAAGTTGTCGTAGGATCACAGCAGGCATCATTGCAGCCGAGGCCGCGTTTCAAACTAACCAGTGATGCTGCTATCACATGGCATAGGGACTTCATGCCATATGGGCGGTACGTCTCCGAGATGGAGATTAATGTGAAAGCTTTAGAAAGGAACTTCCCGGATGTGCTTGGCCGGTTGTGAGCACTGAACATGGACAAAGTCATAGAATGCACGGCCATGCAAATTTGAGCATGGTGCAGGAACTGTACGTGAACTAGAATGCGGACTTGTTCTAGTCACATGTCCGTGGAATAGACGTGCCACTGAATAGGCGAACCTTATGTGAATTTTTAGGGGTTGAGAACTCTTACCCGAGGAGGCTAAATAAATTTGTCACACGCCCA